TGTTGACATATGCGTAATAACATTCTCTAAACAGAAATGAGAAGTACTTTGTTCTCAATAGTAATTAAGATATTAATTTGGAAGCACTTAAACAAATAATAATGTTAAATCATTTATTTACATCCTAACTAACACTTAATAAAATGTTGAGATTTAGGCTCACTAGCATTAACAAGACGCACTATCTTGATTGTATAATTTGAAAATTATGCTTATAACCTAAAATTTAAACATTAATTTTGCAAACTTGAGGTTGTGAACACCACATAATTATTTAGGAAATTTATCAAATCTATTGAAAACAAATAATATCTAGATGGTTAATATGGAGGATGACGAAGCCCTTTTATCATCTTAATTAATTTTCATAAACGTAGGGAATTCAGTCCCTATTTAGCTAATGATGGGTTAATGACTAAGTTTCAATAAAGAGAACAAACATCATATAGGAATTTCTTGGATTGAAAAATATTCTGGTTATTAGTTGAATACCCATTGAATTCTCAATTTCGTGTAATTATTGATACAATGATGGTCCAACTGATTATGCCAAACAACAATATTTTCAATAATTGAACTTCTGGTTCAACATAGTGGTTGTTTCAATTGTACCACACATTTTAGAAATTATGTATCTTTCTCTTTAATTTAAAGAGTAAATTACTATTAATAGTAAAATTTTATTCTCTCATGTTACACATCATTAACTCTTTTAGTGTATCAAAACAATATTCTTCTTGAATATTAATATATCTTGTCATGATTACTTGCCAGTAATAAAATAATATTCTTCAAAAATATAGATATATTTAAACTAGTCATAATATTGTTCTAAAATATTAATATGTATAAATTTGTGATTTTTAGGAATAAAATACGGTATTTTTCAAGAATAATGATATGTACTTTTTTGCTTTTTTTTGGAACAATATATCAATATTTTTCTAGAATATTTAAATTGTAATGTCATACTCTCCATGAGCACATACTACTCTTTCTGAAACATTTATATTAGGTGTGTTGTGCTTCTTCAAGAACATTAACACCATATTCTTCTTCAAGAACATTAACACCATATTCATTCAATACAAATACAAATTCTAGTTATACTTCTTTATGAGCACTAGTTAAATCAAAAGATTTACCCGATCTAAAACTTCACAAATATAAAGATCAAAAGCAATAAAGAACACCAAATATGATCACGGAGGAAAATCCTTAACTGGATAAAAAATCACTAGGCAAACTTGCCAGTAAATGATTCACAAGAAAAGTTAACTTACAATTAATCCAGACACTACTAAACTTTAGTCGACTTTGGTCATCTAACTTGTAAATCATCAAGGAATTTCGTTGGTTGTGCGCCATGCACTTCTCAAAACTCTGAGCAATTTTTTCTCTCATTTGGATCTCCAAGAATGAACATCGTTCTTCCGCGTCAGAACTCTAAGCACCTCTTCTCTAAACTCTAAAATTGTGAAGACTTATTGGTGAAGGTAGGGTTAGGGTTAGGGTTTGGTGTTTGATAAATGATCTCTTAGTGTTTTGATGTGTGATTGAATGTGGAAGATCATGGCTCGATCAACAAAACTATGCTAGTGATGAATTTATGAATAATCAATCAAGGGGTTGAATCAAGAAATCACTAGAATGTATTTAGATCTTCAAAAGAATGATATGTTATGTAATAGAATGATTCAACACACCTTAGGACGTAACTAAGCTTGTATATGCATAACGTGAAGTGTTTTGGGGTGAAATAGGACTCAAAAATTAGTTGAAATGGTGAACTTAGGATTTCACCATAACACCTCAAATTTTCGTAAACCTTGGAGTGTTATCAAAAATTTAAATAAACATGTCATTGAACATAAATGAAACTAATTAATCAATTAAAGATAAAATATCTAATAATATTTCTTCAAATCCTCTGGCAGCTTGCATCACCATCCTGCCATAAATCCAATCGACCTGAATTAATCTGTAAAATTTTTGTAAGAGTATTTAAAAATACCCAGTAAGATATGTGCGATTTTCATGCACAATTATATAACAATAAAATAAATACTTCATACAATTCTTCTCTTATAAAGTATATCGACGATCAAACGAGATACCCATATTAAGTCATCTTAAATTTTTGAAGGAGTACATATCTCTATATAAAGAACTCGAATATTCAGAGATAATTCATGCATATTTAATTAAATACATAAAAGCATTAGAAAATAAACCACTTACACATAAGTTGGATTCTCTCTCTAGCCTTTGATTTCTTTCTGTTGTGTATGTATAATATCTCTTTTGGTGAATAATGAGGTATTTGACACGAAATTTTATAATTGAAAAAGATCATAAAGTTTTAGTACAATGGTGTTCCACTACTCAAATATGTCCACTTTTTAGGGTCATGATTATCTACAAGTCATAATTAGGGGTAGACAAAAAATCGACCGACCCAACGAAACTGACCCAAACCAACCGGTTTGGATCGATTTTTTGCATTTTTTGGACGGTTTTTGGGTTGGGTGGTCGGGTTGGGTCAGGTCGCAGGTTGGCACCCTAAACCTGATCCAACCCCCCAAAAAAAAAAAAAGTTAAATTGAAAAAACGACGAATAGTTTTCTCAATTATTTTCAGATTGTATTAAGAATTAGTTTTTGTTAGCAATTCTTTATTATTAAAACTGGAGCTTTCGTAATTGATTGAGGATTTCAATTAAAAATTTCTTGAAATAAGGAATACCAGCGTGAGATTTATGGATGAAGTAGAGAGACTAAATTAAGTAATTATTTTCCTAGTTTTTTATATTCAATAAAGTCAAAAAGTTACGTTGTATCATAAAA